GCCGGTCACGGTAGCCGAGCGGTCTAAGGCATGTACTGTCTTCGCTCGCTTGGAAACCAGGATCGTGGGTTCGAATCCCACTCAGGGCATGGATGTCTAGTTTGTGAGTGTGCGTTTATCTGTTTGTATACAGGTAGAGGCCTTGCGACTAGCTGATCACCCGCTCAAAGAGTCCTTCTGAATGTGTAAGATCTAGAAAAACCGAAGTGAACGGAGAAGTTCATGGAGGTAGGCCTAGGCCCACTGGGGCTGTAGTGCTAAGGGGGAAGAAAAAGATTTCCTGAAGATCATTACAGTGCTGGCAAGTACCCGCCATTAGATTCTATACTAAGTTCAACCTATTTCTTACCTTCACAAGGGTTACCTCGAAAGTCCAATTTCATATAATCCCTTACACGCTTAGGTCTCACAGGAGACCCCCTTTCTCAAAGATTCCACCCAAAACACTGTACACATTATTATTATACTATATAATAATATACTATATATACTATATAATAATATTATTATTATATTATTATATATTATGTATTATACACATCTATCAATTTCGCCCAGCACTCGGCCCCCACCCCCACCCATTTCATTTAATTTCCTTAATAACAACAGATTAAGGGACAACTGACGTAGTTGTTAATTACGCAATTTTATCAGACATACAGCGAATGCTAAGCTGTTATTTTGAAACAGATCATGACCGCTTCTTCCTCAGTCCACTAATTACACTCTCATTCGTTTGGACTTTTAACATCTCATTCAGTACACTACTGACACCGATCTCTTCCAAACCGCGTCTGATGCTATCTATCGACTTGGTCTGAATGGTGCTAACCCTACCACGCCTCTTCCTACCTTCGGATGGGCGCCATTGCAAGTTGTGTTTACAGAACTAAGTAACGGAGGAAGGTACGTCGGTTTGCATGAGATACGCAACAAGAAGCTGACTCACCACTTGATGTTAGTTCGCCTTTGTACAACCAACACACATAACATTCTTTAATTAACTGCATGTAAATTACATACAGTTAGTTTCTTCTCTGAATTAATAAATTACTTCACTGAATCTATATTTGTGCACCAGTAGAAAACCGAAATTACCGGCCGTGGGGAGTCGTTGCGCTGACCACGCAACACCCTCTATCCGCTAAAGTTGGCACTAACTTCGCCGACAAGCGGCGGTCGCTCGATTGGTATAGTTCACTGGCGGACTAAAACCACGGAGTTTTGTTTGCACCAGGATTCGGAGCGTGCAGAGATCACATCCGTACATTTCAGAAGATTGTGAAAAAGTGAGACGCTTGGAG